TGTGTGTGTGTGTGTGTGTGTGTATGTATGTATGTGTATGTGTGTATATATATATATATATGTTTGTGTGTATATGTATGTATATATATATATGTGTATGTGTATGTGTGTGTGTATGTATGTGTATATGTATATATATATGTATGTGTGTGTGTGTGTTTGTTTGTCGGTATGTATGAATGTATGTGTATATGTATTGTATATGTGTGTATATATATATATACTGTATATACACACCTTGCTACGTGTACTGCGTTAGGCTAACCGAGACTTGTCATTTGCACTTATATATTGTTGCTCTTTTGTTAGTTTTGACTGCTTTTATTGTCCTCATTTGTAAGTCGCTTTGGATAAAAGCGTCTGCTAAATGACTAAATAAAATAAAAATAAATAAAATAACTGTTCTTTTAGATTTTAAACCTCGTGCATTGATGATGCATTCATGAACGCACACAAAAGCATGATAAAGACAAGATTTATTTTGTAAAAAGTTATAAAATGAATATTGTACAAAAATAAAGTCTGTAGAGAGCTTTGGTTCAGTAACACAAAACAAGACAAAACGTCTCACAGGACCGACGAACACTGCAGGACGGAAAATTAGTTTCAGCAGACATTTGAACTCTTATCTTGAATGTTCCCTTTCGAGGAATCCACGAGCGTAAGTTACACGCGCTGGACATGTGTGCTGAGCGAACCGGCATACGTCAGGACAGAGGATCGCAGCGAATGCTTGTTTTCGGTTACATCTACGACTCCAAAGCACGTTTATCATGATTAAGGAGGAACGGCTGATGAAATATATCCTGATAAAAGAGGCACCTCGTGCTTTACAGAGGTTTGGCCTAGATACTTCTGAAATGGGGGGATTTGTTCAGGGATTACGGCATCATAACGCAACAGTAAAGCCCAAAGTATACTTCGGTTTCATGCATACGGTTCGCATGACGCAAATTTCTTCAATAGAAAAGTACACGCTACCACCAGATTTTGCTCATGCCCATTGAATTAGTTTTGCACTAATCAGTTGTTACACAAGGTGGCAACACTGGCCCAAGGCTGTTGTTTCACAGTAGAAAGCCAAACTAAAGAGACTGAACAACAACAACAGACGAAGCGCTTGTGTGAGAGAGCCCAGCTTTAGTTTAAAAGAGTATAGAAACATTTTTAGCAGTCATAACTTGTGGAGAAAAACAGCGCAGACACTGGACAAAGAAAAAACTTTCTAGAGCGCATGCATCGACCGCTGTAGCTCCGCCCCTTGCGTTCGTTGTCTTCGCGTGAACGTAAGGTCGTACGAGTTTATGAATGAACCGCTTGCTTTAAAATGTTCCCCTCACTAATATCAACATCTGATTTGAACATTGCAATGCACATGATAACTGTATTTAACACTACAATAAGTAAATCCACTTCACCAGCTAATTATTCTTTAACAGTGATAAATATCCACCTTATTTTTCCCGTAAGAGCAGGAATTTGTAAATATTATGTGCGAGGCTTCCAGTGTCATCCGCTTCCAAAAACTGTGCAAGACCGATCGTTTTTCTGCTTGATATTGCAAACTGGTGCGTCTTACCGTATTATTTTAATGTATAATCTTAACCCTCTAGGGTCTGAGGTGATTTTGGGGCCCTTGAGATGACATGCCCTGACATTTGTGCTTATTTCAGCTACTTATAACAAACTTTTGGCCAACATGTAATTTTTTTGTATTCAGCACAAATGGTGCTACAATCATATGTGAGCAAGATGGCTGTACATGTTTGCATTTTTTATAAAAAAAAGATTGTGCATGGTTAGTACGGTATTTTGGGGGGCCATAAAGCCATACTGAATGGTTCTGAATTAAACTTGTGAGTAACCAGTCTTGTAGGCTAGAATATTTACGTCAAAATTATGAACACAGTGGTTTGCCGTTTTACCGTTTAATTCACGTTGTTGTTCTTCTCGCTATTTCCCTACAGCGGCCAATGAACCGGAAGTCTCGCACATTCACAGAAAACGGCTTATGAACGTGTTAAGGTGGATAGAGCTATACCGCAAAAAATGGAAGTTAAAAAAAAAATCTAAAGATGCGTATGCGTACAAAAACAAAGTATACTTTGGGCTTAATGCACAGAAAGACCTGCGTTTTCTCTTCCTACGGGCCTGTTTACAGTCGAAGACCCAGATTGCTCTACAATTGAGAGAATTGATCCTGTTGAGAAGTTTATTTCAAGTCGAGCAGACAAAGCTGATTTGACATAAATGGTCTTAAACGACGGGGGTCCGCGGCGCTTCTCCGTAGGTACAGATTAATGGGTAAACAGCCGGTTTGACCTCAGCGGTCGCTCCTGACCGGACCGAGCAGACAGCGGGTTTAAAGAGGTCACATGTAACATTATTTGCTCTGATCAAACAGTCCATTTGTGGAGCTCGGCTCGGCGCAGGCGGTCCCTGGCACTGATTTCATTACAGTGAGATGTAAACACGTCAGGCCAGACCGTATTTTAAAGAGATAATTGGAGACGAGCCATCTGAGGTCCGGCTTGAGCACACGACGGACCTGCGCTGCCTGTTTTAATGACGGGAAAAATCGAGACTTTCGCTTTTTGCAAAACAACATCGGCTTTTTATTTTCTACAGTAATACTTGGTCCTCTGCCCGCTTATTATCTGCTCTTTTGTTGTAGGAAACAACGGCAGACTGGCCTGGTGGAGCTGGAGACCGAAGACGCGTCTTTTCCGTCACGTAATCTAAAGATTCTCTCCGATTCACTCAAGCTCATGTCGTTCCAAAACCAATTTGACCTTCTTCCGTCAAACACCAAAAGGAGATCGAATGCAAAATGACATTCTCAAAGCATCATAACAAGACTTTTTGCATCATTTTCCAAGTCTTCTGAAGTCGTGCGATGCTTTGTTTGAGGAACAAACACACATTTTAGTTGCTGTTCATTAACAAAATAGCTCTCAAATCTCATGCATTTTTTTACACTTGTCACGTTGCAATGCAAAAAGCAGCGAGGTTTGGATTCAGTGATGTCAAACAGGGCACAAGGGTCTAAATGCACCATTTCTTATTCAATGTGTTTAACCCTAAGATTTTAGAGGTTTGCATTGAAAAACGGCTTCAATTTGAGTTGGTTCCTCATGCATATCAATCATATGACTTCAGAAGACTCTGAATAACGTGCACAAGTTATATTCACTATTTTCACTGTGACAAATGACACCATAAATCCTGATCCAACTTCACTGAATGGAAACCAGAATCTCCTAAAGGTTTCGCTCACATTTACTGTTTGCAGCAAAATCCATTGGTTTTAATTAGGAATTACGTGAGGGGGTGAAAGAGTTCCCTATGCAGATTTTGCAATGGGTTCAAGTTAGTTAGTTAGTTTTTGACACACAGACCAACAGAAATCTGCTTGATTTGAAAAGTGATTTCTGTGTGAGCGGTTTTGTAATAATTAAATAATTAATATATAATATATATATATATAAAAAAATTATAAAATAAATAAATATAAAATTAAAAAAATGCTCAGATCTAAAACATTTCATATATATTATATACAACAAAAATATAGAATATAGAAAATATAAAATAAAATATATTAGAAAAATAGAAATATATTTTATATATAATTTTCTATTTTTTGTTCTAATTAGTTTTATAATATTTATATTATAAATATTCTATTTTTTCTCATATATTTTACTAGAAACATATAGTTCATATTAGAAAAAATAGCAGCCCCCATGTTTGACCGTGAGACTTTCGAATACGAAGTATTAATATATATTCAAAAAATGTTATAAATTTTTTATTTTTCGCGCATATAATATCTGAATTTTTTTTTTTTTTAGATCTGAGCATAAGATTAGGGAAATTTTGGCTAGATTTGGTGGGCAAAAAAAATCCATAGTATATCTCTCTCTCTCTCTCTATCTATCTCTCTGTCTCTCTCTCTCTATCTATCTATCTCTCTGTCACACCTTAACCTCTCATTTTGTGAGTCACGACATGTTTGGAAAGACATGAGCTTGAATAAATGATGAATTGTGAACGGTTTCTTGAAAAACTTGTGCTCAAATTTGGCACCATCCAAGATAGAGAACAAAAACCCCCTCCTTAAATAAATAAGAGAAACAAACACTCTAATACAATGGATTGCAATAAATAACAATAACTTAATTAAATCTCAATAAATACATTTTCATATATACTATATATATATATAGATAGCTTTCTGGATATTAAAGATCTGGAGTCTGTCGTTGTGGTTCTCTGTGTAAACGTGATAATCCACTGCAGGCGAGTCACGTTGTTTCTGGATAAACGATGTGGTTTGGTAACAAGTGAATACTGGATATATCTGGGGTCTCCTCCTGAGAGTCCTGCGGCCCCGTCTCAAGCGTTTCGCGCACTGCAAAAAATGATTCTCTTACTTAGTATTTCTGTCTTGTTTTCTAGTATAAATATCTAAACATTCTCAAATCAAGGTGCATTTACTGTACAAGTGAAATGATTTAAGATATTAAGTCTTGTTTTCTGTAAAAAAAAATATATATCAACATTTTGTTAGTTTTTCCTTAAAACAAGCAAAAATATCTGCCAATGGGGCAAGAAAAATAATCTTTTTAAATTGTTGAGGTGGATCTCTTTCAGCAGACACCCACGCCCTTGACCTTTGACCCTGTCGTCTCGGCTGTCCTCACGGCCTCGTCCGCGACCCCTCTTCCGGTCTCCTCGCCCCCGGCCGCTCCTCTCGGTGTGTGTTGCTCCTCTCTGGCGGCCCCGGTCCCGCTTGGTTTGCGAATCTACGTCGGAGGATCTGCGCAGTCGGCCGATGGTGGCTTGGATGAAGTCCATCACGCTCTCGAACTGCTCCGGGTTAAAGCCGTTCACGTCATCTTCAAGAGACAGAACAAAACACGTCAGCTGTGTGGGTTACTCTGCAAAAAACGATTCTCTTACTTAGTATTTTTGACTTGTTTTTTTCTAGTATACATATCTAAACATTCTTGAATCAAGATGCATTTAACTGTACAAGTAAAATGATTTAAGAAAACTTAAATCAAGCAAAAATATCTGCCAGTGGGCTAAACAAGATAATTTTCTTGCTCTATTGGCAGATATTTTTGCTTGTTTTAAGCAAAAACTAACAAAATTGAATTTTTTTTTTACAGAAAACAAGCCATAATATCTTGAGTCATTTTACTTGTACAGTAAATGCATCTTGATTCAAGATGAAACGAGACAAAAATGTCACTGCAAAAATTGCAGTGTAATTAATGATGCAATGTGACACTTCTTCGGTTTTGCATTTGCAGTGTGTGCATTTATGATGTGTTGTTTTTGGATAAAAGCATCTGCTAAATGATTAAACAATTTAATTTTAAATCATGCAAAAACTGTTTTTACATTGTAGATGTAAGCACAACAATTTGTATTATTGGAAAATGTAATATGAATTAGTGATATTATCGTTAACTAAAACTATTCAAAACATTTATGTTAATTGAAATAAATAAATGCTAATTGAAATAATGAATACTTAAAAAACTTTCAGGCATACTTTTAGTAAATATTTCAGTTTTGTGTTGGAAGGCAACATTTATAATTTTATTAAAGTACTATAATTACTAAAACTGAAATAAAAATCAATAGCAATTGTTAAAAAAAACTATAAAAATGAACAGACATTAAAAAACTAATATAAATGGCAAAAACAACAAAATTACTAAAACTGAAAATAATAAAAACTACATAGACATAAACCAATAAAAATGACAAAAACACAACATTAGTAAAATTACTAAAACTAAAACTGAAATATAAAAACAACAAAAACTAAACAGACATATTAAAAAAATAAAAATGACAAAAACACAAAACTAAAATGAAAAAATAATAAAAACCAAATAGGCAGTAAAGAAAAATAATAAAAATGACAAAAACACAAAATGACTAAAACTGAAATAAATTAATAAAAACTATATAAATGTTTTAAAATAACAATAAAAATGACATGCAACAAAATGACTAAAACTGAAATAAATAATAATAAAAACCAAATAGACATATTAAAAAAAAATTAATAAAGCCTACAAAAACGCAACAAAATACTAAAAAATAAATAGACATTTTAAAAAAACTAAAAGGAAACGATAAAACACAACAAAATTACTAAAACTGAAATAAAAAAATACTTAACAGATATACTTAAAAAATATAAAACCAACAAAAACACAATTACGAACTTTGAAAAGAAAATGGAAAATTACAAAATAATAAATACTGTAATACTATATTAATGATAACACTGATGGGAATTTAAGTATAAATATGCTAATTTGATTAGTGACCTAGAATGTGAAATATTTTCATGTTTTAAACATTTTCTGTTTGTTTCCAACAGATCCTCAGCGTGCTCTCAGACGCTTGGACTTCACTGTATACACGACATTGTTTATTTGTCACTATCGACCATCCCAAATAACGGCCCATGACTCACGGGATCTCGCACTGGACAGACTCTTCTCTTCTTATAGATCATGACATTGAGGTACAGCAGAAATACATCTGCTCAACCACAAACCCGAAACATGCACGCCGCCCTCATCTTAAACAAAAGCAAGCGCGCGTTTGATCTGCGTGTAATGCATCATGATTTCATTACAGTCAGAACTCAACGTTCACTCTCCATTCAACCCAACAGACCCACCGTGTCACAGTTCTCGGAAAAGCCTTGCAACAATCGTGGTATATACATGCTGCTAATCTTGCTTGAATTTAACTTGAAAGAAATGATTAGTACTTTTGGAAGTGTTTCATTTATTCCCACTTATAAGAGGTGAAGATGATAAAAGCTGAACATTTACACACCCTCGGGTCATCCCAGATCAGGATGAGTTTGATCTTCATCAGGTTTGGAGAAATGCAGCACTGCATCAGTGTCTCAGCAATGGATGCTCTGCAGTGAATGGGTGCCGTCAGAATGAGAGTCCAAACAGCTGATAAAAACATCACAATAATCCACAGCACTCCAGTCCATCAGTGAACATCTGGAGAAG